TGGAGGAGGGGAAGGGGATTTGTGACAGAGGCTTTGCAGTGTTTTGCTAGCCGGAGTCAAACCACAACATATGCAGCTTGCACTTGTGTTTGACCCCTGTTTGCAATCTTATCGCCTGAACAAAATTCATAAAGCCACTCGTCACTGCTGCCTGCCTCCAAGGAACAGATCAGTACGCGGCTATTGTAGCCAAACCCTATATGACGACACCTCTACTGCAGAAGGAATTAAGGCAGGACAGGTATCTAAGTGTAATGCCATTGAGACTAGACTCCAACAACATTTTGGCACAAAACTACACGTGGATTTGCAATTTAATTTGCAGAAAAATTGGGGTTCTTCAGTACACAGACATTCTTTGAAGGAAAAAAGTACAGACAAATATAGTCAAAATGTAGTAGAAATACAAATGCAGCATTACAAATTCAAGATGAAAAAGACTGTCCAGTGGTGTTGCTATGAAGCAGCATTACTGGATATCCTCAGCATATTTTTATTCAGAGAACACAATATTCTCCAAAAGTAACACTGAAAACCATTTATTTCCAAATGAAAACAAGTAAAATCTTACCCAAAATCTGGAAATCTCCTTTTGGACTTCCCTGATGATGTTCCTTCACTTGTTTCTACTGTCTTGTCTTCATTTTTCTTTTCTTCTGCTTTTCATAGAGGGATGAAAAATAAAAACCTTGTTATTCTAAAAATACTTACAAGTTTCAAGTACTTATGATAATGCTTCTAGTGGGTAAGATACAAAACCTGAGTGTTAAAATTTACATTCCCATATGCAGATACTAGCTGAAAATGCTACAGCCATCACCACAAGTTATTCTCTACGGCATCTTCCCACCATTCTGGCTGGGCTGTACTACTGAAAAATGCAACACTACAGTCGCCTATGACTGATAAAAAAACCTGCTTTTGATAAACAATAATTCTGTACCACTTACAGAAAGATAAAGCTTACCACAGCATTTTGCTTCAATGAATTACAAACTACAGATAGTTTTACAACAGGTTTAGAAAAGCAGTATCACTTCTGTAAAACGTCAACTTCAAAATACAGCAACGAGATGACCAGCATAATATACATGAAAACCTCAGTTTTAAAGTAACAGTAATATCTAGTTGTCCTTCATTACACCTGAAGTATTCTAAGATGTTCCTTATGCATTTTTTCAAGTTCAGTAGCTAGTCCACGCTAGCTACTTGGAACATGGGCCGCGTAAGCAAGCTGCTAGCTCCAGAAAGTGTGCCTAACCAACACGACAGCCAGTACCTGGAGAGCAGGCAGCTGGAGTTTCTTGGAAACAGTATACTAACTGTGACTTCTCTAAAGAAATAACTGGGACTCTGAAGCTCCTGCAAGACTGTGGTATTTTCAAAACTGGAATACAACCTGCTAGGATCCAATTTTTCACCAGAGGGAGCATATTCAATTCCAACTGCTCAATTAAGTGAAATTAAGTGACAAACTTAAGCATCGTATTACCTCTTCCTACAGACTGTGACAGAGTGCTTCACATCCTGAAGGTACTTCCTTTAGAGTCCTCAGGCTACTAGATTTTTTTTTCTTAAATAATTGAAATGTTTTATATTGCAAATGAGGTGTTTCATAACTAAGCTGCCCACGACAGAGATGCAGCCTGCTTTTCTGTGAGACAAAGTAGGCTTTAAGCTCCGCCTTTAAGACAACGCCTGACAAAGTAGTGTACACAGATGCTTTTTATGACCAAGAACCATAAACCCCAAAACCAATGTTTAATAGACAAAATTGAACAACCCCCCACCACCCCATCAGCTGGTAATAATCCTTCCTGAAAAATATAATGGCTATCTCAAAGTTTACAGCTGAATAGTCAGGACAGTTAGGGGCTTTCCTCTTTCTTTTTTTTTTTTTTTAAGTATCTGATCAGTAGTTTCTGATCAACCTCAGAACTTCATCTAATTAGTTAATCACTCTTCCTAAACGTGTAACATCCAATAAATTATTACTACCAGTTAAACTGGTTATTTGGCCTGTCAACTTAATTACAAAATCAGAAGAATTAATTTTAATATTGACATTTGTTTCCACCTCTCTCCCCACAGATAATATTATAGGAAAAGAGGTAATTTCTAAAATGCAGTACAATAGGTTAAAATACAGACTGATACATGAATGGACAGGATGGTAATATAAAGGATTATTTCAATGAAGGAATGGGTAGGCATTTAAATATGGTTAGAAAGCAACAATCTAGCAGAAAGTAGCATTTAATGTCATTTTGCTTACAAAGAGTGACCTTTCTATATTAATCCTCATCTTTCATGTACTACATTAATTAGTTGTTCTAGTGACTATGCCAATTTGAAGAACATCTGCAATGCTTCAGATATCACAAAAATTTGTAGAACAAAGAAAAATCACTTATGTATTAGCTACTTGTTTTGATAATTTTTTTTTAAGAAACAAACTGGGGTAGAGAATTTTAAGACGATAGAAAAGCACAGAATGAGTATAAAACAAATCCTGTTTTCATGATATTAAAAGAAAGGTGGTGTCTGAGCTGCATAGAAAAGACAGCAAGTATAATCTGCCTTTATATACTGTGATAGCTGACTAAAGAAAATATCACGCATTTAGAATATTATATCTAATCCCTCTTTCAATTATTCGTAAAGAAAAAAGGCCAAATATTTCTCTCAAGTAATGATTAGCAGTGACAAGGCTGACTATAATGCTTTTAACCTTTTCCTAGTGAGAAATATCCTCAGAGGACAAGTTGAATAATGCAGTAATTCCTGTAACATTCAGCATCCACATGTTTAAACAAGATACGGATTATGTCTGGAAGCACAAAGCCAGCACTTACTTTTTCTGGGAATCAGTAAATCAGTCAAGCTTGCTCTCTGACACACGGCTACTTACGAGGCTAGAGTTCTGCAGAAATGTGCTAAGACCTTTACTGATTACCCACAGTCAATGACATAGCTCTCCTCTAGCTTACGTCAAGGCAACCATTTAGACTCGAGATTTATAGGTTTGAGCTTTTTACCAAACTGACTTCGACCTACTCTTTTCTGTAAATGTTTAATTGAAACGGCATTTATTCTGCAGGCACCTTTTAGATTCTTGGCGCCCTAAGTGAGTTCAGAAATACTGACTTTTTGTAGAAATTTGGTAACTGACCTGTTGCAGAGGAAGGAATGAAAAGATAGATAAATGTATTTAAGAACACACTTATGTTGCTTAAAAATCTTTCAGTAAGTAAAAGCAGAATACAATGAACTTGCATACTCTTCTGCTAACTTCAAAGTTTCCTGAACTTAACAAGTGGTTTTAGAACAGACAATTAGTTTTGTAGTCAATTCATTTTCCCTTGAAGTAGTTGAGCATCCAATATTCATTTATATCTAAAATCTGTAATACTTTCACCCTGATGGATTAAAGTAACATTAAACCCTTAAGTCTTACCCTTGGCCTCTTTCCAAAAAAAATCTCCCTTTTGCTTCTCTTTGCTTAACATTCTTGGAATACCCTTGAGGAGAATTTGGAGCCATCTCTTCAGGAGGAGGTGAACAAGTGGTGGTTGTGCTATTTTCGTTGTTTGGTTTGTGTACTGGAGAAGAGTGTGTGGAAGCAGGACTTGACTCTAGAGGACTTTCTGTGCTTTCTGTTTGTTCAGGCTTTTCACTCTTTTGATTTATGTCACCCAGGCGCGGGAGAGTTAATTTTTCACTTGTTTCTAAGGTCTTGGTTAGGTACACAGTGGAAAGTTCTCTGTTGAGAACAGTATCTTCTGAATCCTCATCCTTCAACAAATTCAAAAGTTATTTTATGATAAGCATGACACACAATAATTTACTATCTGATCTTTTACAAGGAGGTAAGGATATGCTATGCTACACAAACTTCCTCAGTTGAAAAAATTTTAACTTAATCACTTGCAGATATAATCTAAATCACATGAGGCTGATTTTATAAGCTTTTCTTTATCCACCCCTACACAGATCTTTCTGCACATGCCAAATCATGTTTCTTTAGCCAAGCCAGAAATGTTCTGGTACATCTTGGCCACTTCAATTCAATGCAACCCCTTTTCAGTCTAACTGAAGTTGTTCACTCTTCTCCCTCTGACAGTGCCTCATATACCAGCTACATACACCTCAATTCTTCAACTGTTTTCCAGAAACGTGCCAGAACACTGGTATACTTTTTGTGAACTTAAATGATTCTTTATGGAATAATGAAGCATTTCAGAAGTGTTGAGTTTTGGAAGAAATTTGGTAACTAACTTGTTTGAGATGTAGGAATTATAAGATAGATAAGCATATTTCACAACATATTGCTGCCACCCTATTAAAATCTTTAAGTACAATACAACCAGCTTGCACACTTCTTTGCTACCTTCACATTAATCGTGCTGCAAAGAACATCGGAGAGATCACATATGTGGTATGAACCTGAACAGGGTTTTTCAGTTGATACAACATAAGAATATGATGCATGTCACAGTCTGAATGAAGCATGGACAACACTTAAAATTGCAAATACAGATAAAACTGGACATACTTTCAGGCTCATGAGTACAGAATTATCTATCAGTATCGGTACCTGTAGATTTGCAGTCTGTTGTCCAGCCCCAAGAGATTCTTTCAGCTTTGATCGAGAAGGTGGCTGGCGTTTTACTTTCAAAGCAAGCTGAGCTTTTGCTTTGTGGGCACTGGTGTCTAATCTGGGAGTATCCCCAACAAAAGCATCAAAATCTGCAACAAATACGTACTTCTTAACAACAACAAAAAACAACCGAAACTGGTAGCCACATTCTCCAACTCATGGTCCAGAAAAATAATCAGAAGTTAAATAAGAATTATTGTACCTGTTAATCATTACTATAGGAAAATACTGTTATATATAATAGTACAATATTTTAACATCTCGTTGTAGCAATTTCCAATTAATTTGTAATATATTTCTAACTAATTTCTTCAATTAAAAAAATAATCCATCAAGATATAACTGTATTATGGCCTTAAAACTGAATTTTCTTCTCAAACAGATGAGAATTTGTACCCAAAATGTACTTTCCTCTCCTTGTTCTTTAAGACAGAAACTCTTTACAAAGTACATAAGCATCTACCAAATCTTTCAAATATATGGTTCTCAGTTGAGCCACTATCTGATATTTTATAACATTCTGGGCATAAAATTACAAGACAAATTAAAAAAAATCATAGCAGGTTTTGATGTAAATCGTAGCTTAAAATAAATGTAATTTTAACTGACGAATCTCAGTGTTTTAGTCCCACTAACATTATTGATTTTCCTAACAGAGTACCTGAGGAACAGTGAGGCTGGACCTCTCTCCATCTCTCCCCTCTTCCCTACAGCACTTAAGAAATAACATTACTACAATAGTGAAAACACTGGTGAAGCTAAACAGACATATTCACACTGGCTGAGATCAAACATTCACCCAGTCAGTAGGAAATAGCAAACAAAAAATCTCTTTTAACAACAAACGCGCACTACACGTGTAACCCCTAGTTTTTGTTAAGTGCAAATCTAAGGTCCTACAACACACTTACCAGAAATGAACACTTCTGAAGAATTTGGTCTTTCTTCTATTGATTCTATTTCTTTTTCATTTTCCTCTCTTATTTTTGACTGTTCATTATATTGTCCTGGACTTTGACAGCCACCTTCCAATAAACTGCCACCTCCAAACACAGATGGCATTCTCTCAAATATTTCTAATTTACCTTCAAGCTCAGAAATCTGCAAAAATTAAAATTCAGAAGTGAGATACAACTCTCCAAGATTGCAGTTAATTTCAAAATATAATACTGCTTTACTTTTTCCTGATATATTCTCAGCTGTTCTGCGTATTTCTGGTCTCTCTCTTCAAGTAGCCTTGCGTGATCCTCTTCTTTTTTCATAAATTCTATTTCTCTGGTGAAAGAAAGATGTACATATATATGAAATGGTAATAAATAGAAAGGTTAAAAAAAAAAGCATAAAGTAGAAATATGCAGTTACATTTACTAAAAAGCATTGTTAGTAAACATTGAAAAAATAAGAATCGGTTATACCTTACAGGCTGATTTATTAATCTTGTAACGTCCCAAAATGACCTATGTATTTGTATGCTTCTACTGTCTTCAAAAGAAAATACATATGACACTAATTTACTCTGGGCTGAAAAATGAGGTACTGGAAGACTTTTTCTACAGTTACAACCAACCCTACACCTTCAAAAGTGGCACATACATTAAAGTGTAAAATATATGCAGGAATCAAATCATTACATCTTACTCTCTTACACAAACACACACACATGCTCACCCAGCAAAAAGCTTCCTTCCAAAAAGCTATGGCAGAATTCTTTGTAGGAAACCAAATTGCATGTCAAGTTTCTACCTGGCTCATTCTACAGAAATTGCAATGGCTAGGTTTTGCAAAACAGAACAATGATTACAAGAAGAAAACAAGAATAAAAGCTGCTTTTTCCTGCAAGTCAGATGGAGTAACATACAAAACCAGAAATAAGTGTAGAACACCTACACAAAATGCAAAAGCTTCAGGGACAGTCAAAGGATTAATGGAAATTTGCTAAACAGCAAGGAAATGGAAAGTAGCATGTTAACAGGCATCTTAACGTACTTTTGAACTTCCATGTGGATGAGCTTGGAAGGAGACCTTTAAAAAGCTCAAACAGCACAAAAATGCACTGTGAAAAGTAACATTTCTGGATGTGGACTACAGAGCAAGAGATGATGCAAACTGCCTTTAAAACACAACTGCATGACAAGAGCGTTCAAGTCTTCCACAGGTGTATCTGATAGTAGAGGTAATATTGCCTTAAAACCCCTTAACAGGTTTGAGACACTGTTTTCCTGCTGCCATTTTGATGGGCTAGATAGATACTCCAAACTCATAATTTTTCTTAGAACTCCTTTTAGTCCCCCTCAAGATATCACACGGCTCTTATCATACATCCTTTGATGTCTACCTTATCTGGAAGGTTACGCTGGTCAAAGCTAGAGGCTTTTTCACAAACAGTAAAAGGTATTACCAAATACCTCATGCCAAATTTCAAGTGGCCCTTGCAAGAGTATAGATGCATTACAGATTCTCAACTAAATTGTTTTAGAAATTTGTAATTGAAATACTGTTTTCCTTAAGCTTAGAATTAAAAGCAGCAGCAAAAACTTTACAGAACCTTTCCAGAAGCTGCTGACTTAAGGAATGGAAGAATGCAGCATGTATAGCCCACTGCTTCCCTAAACTCTGACAAATGAAAAGAATGTATGTTAAGCAAATCCAAACCCTTGGTATTGTTGTCAGGTTTCCCCATAATATACAAAACATACAAGCGAGAAATAGAGACCTCTATTTGGGGGTACTTACTTTTGTTGGTAATCTTTAAGCAATTTCTTGGCCTTGCTGTATTTCTTTTCAAGGGCATCGCATTGTTCTTGAGTTTCTTTGAGATGCTCGTTTACCGTTTTGCATAAACTCTGTGCCTCTAACCAGTAGGTCTCCAACTTTTTAATTTTCTCTTTGCTTTCGTCTAAGTTTTCCTGAAGTTGGGCTCGACTTAGTTTCCATTCATTTTTTTCTGCTTCAACAATTTTTAACTGAAAAAAGATTAATGCTTAAGGAATTAATCTAAACTAAAAGATGAAATACAAAAGTTGTTTATACGTGTTTAAGTAGAGAATAGCTAATAATAATACTTATCAGTAATATCAAAACAAGACACTGCATTTTTAAAGAAATTGTATCAACTCTTGCAACTCTTGCTTAATCCAAGCAAGTTTAGAACTCAAACCCGAGTGTTTTACTATTTCCTCATTAGTACTGCTTCTTTTTAAAGAGATAATGAATAAGACCTTTGTTGCCAGCTTATGTTGACTTCTTCAACATCCCACCATCTCTGAATACATCTGGAGAGGCCTATTTTGACCACCTTCAAAGGCAACTGGAGATACAGAATCTCAACCTCTCTAAGACCAGCTCCCTGTCCTACAGCTTTGTTACTAACAGTGAAAAAACAAAGCTAGTAAGACCAGCTGATCTTCCCTGGTACTCTGTAAGACATTGTTCTTTCTAATAAATCAGGATATATTCATGGTTGTTTTCCTGGGGGTAATGTACAAAACCACCAAACATTCCCTCAAAAAAGGAAAAGGCTGGGGCCCCTTCAGCTTGACAGCAGCCACATTATAAAAGGGAACGTTAACATGTGAAGTTCTACAGGCTCTGGAGGAGTGAGCAGGCAGGATACCACTTAGTTTGTCCATGCCTCCTTCTTTGGGACACCATTTACACTGAGGAAATCACTGCTTTTGAGGCCAGTTATGATCACCTGCTGATTAAACAGAGATGTTGAAAAGACCAAGAATTTACTGAATTAAAAATGGCGCATTAAGTTGTACCAACACCAATAATTTTAACAGCTTTATTTTAACTCCGGCAATGTGCTGCAACTTGTCCTAGGGTACACATTTCTCGGCAAGGCAACATCGAAAGCAATGGAATAAAGATGCTGCTCACCTACAAGAAATACTTCCAGAATAAGGCCATGCACAGATCTCCATCAGAGGGGAAAAAAAAAAAAAAAAAGCCCAGCAAAAAACAAGAAACCCTTTCACAGAGAAAGCAGAAGCATTGAAGCAGTCCTCACCCCAAAAAAAGAGCTGCAAAAACCTCTTCCCAGACCAGGTCAGAAATTTGAGGAGGGAAAGGGGGAAACAAGGTACCAGCAATAACTTTCTGCTAACAGAAAGTCAGCCACAAACCATTGTCTGTAAGTGCCAAATCTACACTCAAAGAAAACAAGTTCTATCTACTGAAAATTATTTAATTGGTAGCTTGTTTCAGACACAACCCCGTTATATTCAGTTCTACTCTGAGCTGTAATATTGAGGCATTCATCTTATAATGCACAGGGGAGATTTTGGAGTTGGGGGTTTTTGTTTGTTTGGTGGGGTTTTTTTGTTATTATTAATTTGAGCATAGCTCTTCGTCTTAGAACTGACTGTCCAGCGTACCACAGATTATGTACATAGAGTCTGACACCTAAACCAGATGGCTTTCTCCTGCATTCAGCCTATTCTTGGTAAAATTCATAGGTAGAAATAAAAAAAGAAACCAAAAAACCACCACCAAATAAGTTTCTTTGAAAACTTACTTTGTCCTTCAGTTGATTCACTTCAGCTATTGTTACTGCATGTTTTAATTGTAACTGAAACAAACAAAACTGTATGAGTACAGAGAAAACAACATTTGAAATGCTAGTTTTAAGGATTTGCCTACGATTCCCTTCAAGCCATTTTTATAGTATCATAAAGTCAACTTAATTATTTGTCCATTACAGGAGAAGTGATCATGAGGTTTTATTAAAAAAACAGTACATGTACGAGTGCAAAAGCACATTTTTGGACAACTATTATGTACATATATTATGGACATGAAGATTATAACCAAATGTTACAAGGTTCAGATGTTCCCCAGGGCATCATAAAGAATATGTAAGAAACTGCTACCACACCTCTTTAAATTTAAGAAGGGACTGGGCTGAATCCATATCCAATGGTAAACAGATATCTTCAGTTTCAGGAAGATCAAAAACTTCCACAGAATTGCCATGTAAATGTGACTCATATGTATCGTCATCATCATCATAGTCATCCTGACAAAATGGGAAAATCAGGACATTCTGTAACACACCCCCACTTCGCATTACGGTAGCAGCACTAACAGAAGCACATGATCAAGGCATCCGAACAGTTGCAAAACTTTCAATCTGTTACTATTCCTTTTTAGTTTGTCACACCTATGATAAATTTTAAAGATGACTTGCAAACACCTTCATCCAAGTTCCACAAAAGACAGCTAAGCAAGCCACGTACAAAACAATCACACACAACGGATTTTTAAGTATCTTTTGGATTATTGATAAACTGGAAGTATAGCAAGTAGCAATAATCATGTACCTTGATAACAGTAATGTTAAAAACAGAAAATACAAACCATACAAGTTGCCTGGTTTATCCTTTTTTTGTTTCAATTTGAATCAAAAACATTTATTCCATTTGCAGATATTACTGCATGTAGCAGTAACTCACATTTTTATAAGTATGCGATATGTATGATGTTTTACCTGCTCTGTATCATCATGAATATAGTGCTGCTCAGACAGACATCTCTCTTGCTCTAAGGTCTCGCTAATCAGGCGGGCTACTTCACTCTGAGTCCCTGGCTTCTCTCTCCCAATCAGAAACCTACAAAAAAACCCCAAATTATCTTTCAGGAAAAAGCTCGAGATATGCTTAAGAAACTACTTTGCCATACTGTCGCCTTCAACATGATCTTTGCAAAACTTTCAGATGCTGGGTCTTTTTTCTCCATTAATAAAAAGCTACAAAAAAGTATTATGTCATAGAAAACATACGTACCTCACTGTGCCTTTGGTGTTTTTTAATACGGTGGCTGCAAAGAACTGAGTAACTCCCACTAGACTTATGCCATCGACCTCCACAATTTGATCATTTACTTGAATTCTGCAAAAGAAATAAATGCTTAGCTATCAATTCCACAAAAAGTATTTTGGCTTGACAAATCTCTGTCATGGCAAGTGTCACTTAAAACTCAATAGCATTTATAATGAGAAATTCTGAGTCCCAAGAAATTCACTGCTTAAAAACAATCTCCTAATCCTTAGTTATTATGCAGATCACAAATTAAAATTTTATTTGCCTTGATATTTTTTATACTATTTACATAGTGACTGGTGTCCTGAGTGTCAACATGATTTTGTGCCACCATTACACATGAGCATATTCTAAGCTCTTCTCATATATGCTGTAAGCAGACCTACATTTATTTTGCAAAAATGTCCTATATTAAATAAAACTCGTGATTTAAAAAAAAATAATATAAAGCGGGAATGTAATATTTATTCAGCTGCATGCAGCTTTTGTAGTTTTCTTCACAGAATTCAGCATATCCAGCAAAAACAACTGGGCTCAGTTAGAAATTTGTAAAAAGCATAATCAGTCCAATGAAAAACTCACCGTCCATCTTGCTGAGCAGCTCCACCATCTGTTATTGTTTTTACAAAAATACCTAGTTTTTCCAGTCCCTGATCAGCACCAACTCCCATTCCAATAATACTGATGCCCAGACCACTGTCACCTAAGGGATTTAAAAAATCTGACATCAGCTGTATAGTACAGGACATAACACTTAGCAGTAGTAAGCTGCTTCAAAATGTTCCAAGCCCTTGCACACAAAAGAAGAAGATTCATTAAAAAAGACAACATATTTTCTATCTAGATACTACTTAAAGCCTTTTTGTTCTGTACTTATTACTACCTGTTAGGTTCAAGGCTTCAAGTTACCTGGAAATTAATGTTACCTGGAATTCATACATCTTGCTATATTTTGGTGCAGATCTGCCACTCAGTAATGTAGCCTTCCTAACTTCAATTAAGTATGACACTTTGCACTTAGTAACTGGCCTGTCCAGTTAACGTTCACTAAATTCAACAGAACTAGCCACAAGTGAAAGCCTGAACACACATTTAAACATTCAAGACCTCAGTTCAGGGAAAATACAGTTTAAAACTGTTTAATCTTTGGCATGCATAGTATCTCTTGCAAATGTCCCAGGTTTGATTTGCACCTTTTTCAATTTCCACAGGAAACACTTCCATTTTTTCCACCCTTTTCTCAAGTTCATACTCAGCTGAGGCTGCCACAGGGTCAACTTCTTCATTACGTCTATCATAGTCTTCATTTGAGTAAGTACTGAAAACCTAAGAAAGGTAACAGAAAACTTTTTTTAGTGCTTTCCCACCCCTTTCCAAACATGATATAATCGACAGAAAAATAACTAGGGAAATTAAAGTGATATTTTTAGAGATCCCATTTTCTAAACTACTGTCGATTTAATAAATACTGCTGCTGTAAGACAGTTTCCAATGTGAATGCAAGTAACATTTTAGAAGTTTCCAAACAATTCCTTAGTGCTTCTTGTGCTGTAAATACACCAAATAGTTAAAAGAAATCAGTCATCTCCTCTTTGATATAGTGTGATTTTTCTTTTAGCACTACATTCCCTCAAATCCTTCTTTGACTCTTCTTCCTTCCTCCCTCGCCCCTCCCCACCTGCCAAATGCAGTGCTTCAAAGAGATGTAGTTTTCTAATTTTGCAAGGGAATCATGCAGTTTCCCAGGAAAAGGAAATGCCTTGTTACATACATTACTATTTTTAGTCATCACTCCAGCTGAATTTCTGAATTGTTAAAAATAAAAGACCAACAAACAACACAAATTGAGACAGAAACCTAGAAAGTACAAGCTACATGTAACAGGGTTAATTTTACTTATCAGCAAGTTTGTTAATGTATTTAAATTCATGTTAGGAAAAAAAGAAAAAATACACCACCACCCCAATTTATCTGAAAAGCAAGGTTTATCTGCTTAAGTTTTTGCAGGCACTGAGTGTTTTACTCAACAACACCAAGACAAAAAAACAATTACGGATTGCAGCTGCAGCAGCCATGTCCCTAATCAAGAACATGCAGTGCTGACACAAAGTTAATTTACACTGGCTTAAGTTTTTGCAACTTTTGCATTTTCCCACTAAGACTACCCAGACAGGTAACTGCAATCATGTAAATGAGACAGAATTAACTGCAATTAGCTCTAATCAACATTTCCCCCCTGAATTTATATCCACTAGTATATGGCGTTAGCCCTGCATGGCAGTAGCCTCAGATACAGGAAAACAGTTATTGAAACAGATTACCAAAAAGCAAATAATATAACTCGGTGTCTCCCATGGAGAGCTTGCTGTTTCACCTCCGGGCCACAGCTGGAGGACACTTTCACAAACTCTTTGCCAAATCCTGCAAAAGAGCTACTCCAGAAACATGGCATGGCCATAAAGCAGACTGGTAAGTAAGCAGGCTTAGATCCACCTGGCTGAACAGGAAGGAAGTCTTGTTTCCCCCAGCAGAACCACCTTCCTGAAAGGTTGTTCTTCCTAAGTCTTGCATAAAATTAAATAAACTAATAAACTCCTTTGGACCATCCTACAGACACCAGTGGGCAACAAGTGGACACAGAAAGACGACAAGAGCTGCACTTAGAGCAGCTCTTCCATGTTACAGAAAAATCTGCAAACTAGACAGAGAAAACCATCCAAGTGGTCTCAACCATCCTTACTCTGTCACTATCAGAAACAAGGTGGCCAAGTTATTTAAATTAATCTCCCTCCCCACTCTCCAAAATCAGTAAATAGGATATGAAGCAATACTCTGCCTTTGGAACAAGGCCAGTCTAGTTTGGTTCCTTTCCACCCCAACAGAAAAATCAATTGCTCTAAAAATACAGTCAAGTTACAGTAAGATAAACTGTAAACTAATAATAAAAAGGAAGTTCATGAGTGGACAAATAACTTGTTAATGAGAATATTTGAGTTCTTGAGAACAAATCAAATACTGGGGCATGGGAAAAAAAAATCAAAGTTTGCTTTTTTGTCAGTATACATATCATCTAGCATTAATAATGGCTAAAATGTTAAGGATCACTATCAAATGGCTGAATGAGCAAAGTGTGGAGAATGGCAGCAGTTCATTTGGAGACACTGACAACTGTATTTTCTTGATTACTTATAATTCAGCAGTTTAACTCACAAAGCAGAAAATGATGCAAGCAGTCACTACCTACTGCAGAGTTACATTAGCAAAGGGATGAGCAGTTCCGTACACAACCATTTACAAAGTGCTGGAAATCTGGGGGAAGCAAAGGGGCACCACCAGAACAGCATTACATATGCTGCCAGTCTTAGGCTGACAGCACTAAAACAACTCTGGAATGTCTAAAAATTATTACATATTTTTCCAACCTGGAAGTATTAGTATTTACTCGAGCATCTCATGGAATTTCCCCATTTTGACACAAAATTGATCACAGGAATTGATCATTTGCTGGGAGTGGATTGTTAAATTTAAAATTAGTGGTGGCTTACATTCCAGAGATGTTTATAATTGTTATCCATAAAATAATAGCACAAACATATCTATGCAAATGAAGACTACTAATATTTATGCACACTGGCTTTTAAAGAAAAACTGATCTGAAATCACTTCTGACTAATCCCCTACAAGAAAGAATTCATACTTTTCAAGTGACGGATTGCAAGTGTGTGAGAATGTTTTAAGCAATATTCTAAAAACCATCACCTCACAATTAAGACAAGATAGACCCATTTCAAAACAGTAAGAGGCAATCCTCGAGCTCAGAAAAATAATTTTGAGGAAAACCCATGCACTTCCAGAGAATACAGGAAAGGCAAAACTGATCTATAACCAGAAGCCAAACACTGCAATAACAAAAAGAAAAGCAAGAACACACCAAGAAAACTATGGACAAAGAGTCAAGGGCAAAAGACAGACATTCTTATTGTGTATATGTGGAATCATAACGTGGTATTCATCTTCTATGACATGGAAACAGTAAGATTGTTGATACTAATATCAAAAACACAGAACTGTTCAGCACGTTCTTGACAAGTAGCAAAAGTAACACTGAACACAGAATGTGGATAATATCTAAGTTCCCAGTCACACAGTTTAGAAGACTTGATGAGAAAGCTAAACACACCCCTGTGCTGTGTCTGGCAGGGTTTAGCTACTGATTCAAACGCATTAGGGACAAAAGAAATTCTATTCTTACTATTTAGAGGTCACTGCTAGCCAGAGATCATAAAATTATTAGTGTGCAAGTGATATTTTTAAAAGATATGCTTTAGCAAACACAAGTTATTATCCCAAAACAGGAGAAAACAGATGAAATTTACAAGCCTTCTGCTATAGCCTGTTAAATGTTCAGAAGATTAACCTTACATTAGTAACTTCTGGATCCTGTCAAGCTAATTAATGGTGAGAAACCCTGATATCTGAAAAAGGATTTTCTTTTTACACTCAAAAAGCTCTTTTCTTCAGAATGAATAGAAATAATTTGAATCCAAAAAAGTTCTAACAGAAAGCTGAATTTTTAAAGGATTATTTTAATTAAGTTGTTAAGATACATAACTGGAAATTTTCAAATATATACTTAGTCCTTGGACAGCAAATATATTTATTTGGATACTGAACAAACTACATGGTTCACACCGGGAAAACAAATCACTTTCTGAACACAAAACTCAGTTGGCCTCCTTCTATGAAGATGCTAATATTAACATCAAGATCAGCTCTCAAAAAAAACCAACTCAGCTGGCTGTCCAGAAGATCCTGCTACCATACAGACCTAAAAATCTGCATTGTATCATCTCAGTGCTATCACAGAAAACAGCTCTATCACAGAAAAACCATGACCTTGCTTAATGCAAACCCTTAGCAGCACCATGAAAAGCTCTAAGTAAGACCTATGTTAGTTTTAGTAGAATGTCAGTTTGGTTAGAGGGTAAATTCTTTAGAAAAGAGACACTAATTTACCACCTGTTTGCATGAAACTTCTACGGAGTTGTAAAACACAGCCCAAACACCTTCGCTCCCATATTAATTTCTAGTAGATTGATTGTTTGTGCCTGCTCAAAAGCAGAACCTTACAAAGGTAATTAAAAAGTAAGATTAAGAAGTCAGTAATTGCCCAGAAGGGCTCCCAATTAACCGGAACAGAAGCAGTATCAACATCCCTTAAGAATTCTCATGCAATACCACAGTACCTACTGGAAAGCCTCACGCCACCTGCATGGGCAGCTCAAGTACACTGCACGGCCGGGCCAGGCACGGGAGCGTGACTTGACACCCCTGCCTGGACACACCGCCACCATGACTACACCAGTTGGCTCACGCTTCTTCTCAAACACAATTCTTATTTTGCACATGCGCGTTCACCGACACTCAGTAAAGCCAAACTTGAAAACACGATACAGGTCAGGAATGGGATGTTTAAGCTATCTAACAGCGAACAGGTTCAGCTTTTCAAACCGATGGCCTTTGCAATGCCTGGCAAAAGGTGAAGTGCCCAGGCAAGCACTGATCAGTCCTACTTCAGTGCTTGTGTTTCAGGTGAAGTGCAATGTACACTTCACAGCTCTTCAGCTGAAGTAGGCATCTACTTACCGCCACCCACTCTTCCCTCTGTTTCCCAAAGCTACTCAGTTTGTATTTTACTACCGCTCTTTGCTACACTTTAAGTGAAAAGTGATTAGAACTGATTTAAGTCAATTCAGGCTATCAGCAAACAGAAATACCTTAATCACTTTTTTTTTTTTTTTGAAACAGACTTTAACTCTTCAAAAAGCATTCAGAATGGCTGCTGGTAAATACATTCATATTATAAGCCATTCAACTCCGTGTAGCACTTTGTTACCAACCAGGTGGACAGACAGAATGTGCACACTTAGACACCTGATCCTGAAGCTCAGCATAACTTAATCAAAAACCCCAACCAAGTCAGTTTACATCAAGGTGTAAGTGCAACCTTGCTTCAGATCTACAGCACAGACTATTTCAACATAAATAAACCAGTTTTTTAGCAGCCACGCTCTTCTCTACTTATTTCTCAATAAAACAAGTACTCATTAGTTCTGTATTTCATTGCAGTGGCAAAGGCACCGGAGCTAGCTAGAGAGCAAGAAAGACAACACGCTGTCTGTTTCAGTCAGGTTATGCTACCTACTCCAGGAGATACTCTTTTCATTTTGAAGTCCCAGTGTAAGAAATACTGAAGACTTGGTGCACTGATTTTATTTCATTTCGAACATTCAGAGACGATTCAGGTTCTCCCGCCACGGAAGTGG